TATTGCTCCTTTTTTAAAAGGTCCTACATTACGCAAAATGGATTTTGTGAGCTTTTAGCCATCTTCTAATGTTGTTACCTCATCAAAAACGTATCTGGAGTTGTGTTTTGCTTCATTCACCCATGTTTGAGTTATTATTTGTTATTAGTCTACATCTCTAAAGCTCCAAATGCTCTGTTCGACCTTGTGATGTCATGAAGCGGTAGTTTTCCAGTTAACAGCTACCTCTTTCGTTTTGTTCAGTACATTGGCAAATCCAGGGTTGAAATGATCCAAATGATTCTAGTGAAAGTGTATCGAGTTTATAAACACAGTGCAGTACTTCCTGTATTAGCACATGACATCACAAGGTGGAACAGTGATATATCTGACTGCATCTCTCACTGAAGGGTTAATACAGTGGGCAACTTCTTCATTGTCTTTAACTTTCCCATTTGGCACTCTGGCCCAATACTGCATGACTTATGGTGGAGTAGCAGGACAAAAGCGTCTTGTATTTTGGGAGAGAGCAGAGGGGGAGAGGGAGGTGGGTTTGGGGTTTTAGAGGGGGGTATATGAGGGGGTATAGGGGCGGGCTGCTGGGTCCAGTCCTGGGGGCCGTGGATGGGAATGTTTCTGTGTGCAATGTACGATGGGAGGAATGCTTCTGTTTGCTGAGTGAGGAGGGCAGACTGTCCAAACACAGGCCTGTGTACGGATCTCTCTGTGGCATCTCTCTGAGAGTCAGATGGAGGTTTAAAAAGGCCATAAACAACAAACAATGTGGACAACTAATGACTCATTAAATCTCCCATAATTCAGTGCAGGAATGCAATGTTTTAAGTGTACGTCAATCATGACTTTGCAGGGAAAACTAACTCCAGGGAAGGGTAGAAAATGGCCAGAAAAGATTTGAGATTTGAGGGCGACTCAGCAGGAACTACTCTAAATGCAGATGAAATAAGGTATATATATATATATATATATATATATATATATATATATATATATATGCAAATAACATGTTTACTATTTATTACATTTAATTTAATTTGTCTCCTGAAAATATTTTTTTTTTTAAATGTGTAGCCTGTATAGTAACTGTGATGAATGAAGTACATTTATCAAAATAAGTTACATTATTTATTACATTATTTACTAAATGTATCTAATAAGTAGAAATGAACCACAACTAAACAATAGACTATAGTTGTTAATACTTAAAACTTTATGGTAACGGTGACACGTTTTTTGTTTTTTTTTTGCTTATGGACGCATCTTGTATTATGCAGTACAATATATTTCATGTACTTAGCATGTATTATATATATGATGAGGATTACCTTAGATTTATTTGGACACAATAGCTCACACATCACAATACATTATTATAACAAAGAGCAAGAATATACATGGTAATAATATGTTTAATATAAGCAGCAAAAATAATGAGACAAGTATCAAAAAAAGCATAATTATATAAATGTGTATGTACAAGTAAAAATTTAAAATATAGTAATACCAATATATCTCTCAGCATGTATTATACAGTACTATATATGGTGAGGATACACTAGTTTTCTGTGTATGTGGCGGACAGTGAGTCGCAGATGGAAAGAGGTTTTGGAGGAGCTGTGCATTTGCCCCATGGCCGTTGCCCCGCTCTCAAAGACCTGCCTGTATCCACCCTCTGAAGCCGCTCTATGCGATCCAGGATTACTCAGTCAGGATTTCTAAATACAGACTTTGGCCCCGCTAATGTAGGAGTCTGTTTACTGTACCAGTTTGTTTTTGGGACATTAAGAAGAAAAGATGCAATGTAGAAGAGAGGAAAGCAGAGAGAGGGTGGATGGAGAGATAGAAGGAAGGATGGAGTGAGTAAGTGTAGGTAAACGGACACAGGATGTGATGAATGAAGTGAGTAATCAGTTACACTGTTAATGGTCAGGATCATTGGCAGAGTAATCTAGGTTCAAGGCTACAACTATTTTTCTGGGTCAAAATAGCAAATAACTGGTATCCAAGTATGTACTGATGTGAAAGTTTTGTGAGAGTCTTGAGATAAGATTTTAGTCATGTTACAATGTTGTTGCCTCATCAAAAACATACCGGGAGTTGACTTTTGTTTGAGTAATTCAGTATTATTACTTGGTCTACATCTAAATCTCAAAATGCTTTGTTCCACCTTGTGATGTCATGAAGCAGAAGTTTTCAGCTACATTTTACCTTTAGTTCAGTAGAGATTGGCAATTCCATAGCTGAAATGATCCAAATGATTCTTGTAAAGATGTATGGAGTTTCAAAACACAGTGGAGCACTTCCTGTATTACCCCATGGCATGGCAAGGTGGAACAAAGTGTATTCTGAAAAGAACACAGCCTAAATATGCAGGATTTTTGTATTAAACATGTGTGAATGAAACAAAACACAACTCCACTTATGTTTTTGATGGGGAAACAACATTATAACAAAGAGAAAATAGTGTAGTATGGGCCCTTTAATAAATCATGTAGTTGCCACAGCTGTCCTGGGGTAGACTGACAGAGGCGAGGCTGCCAATCTGCCCCATTTCCCCTTTCAAACACCATCAATCACTCACACACAATGCATTCATACATAGACAAGGTTGATGAAGTGTCTTGCTCAAGAGTGCACAACAACAGGTCAGAGTTGAATTTAAACCAGTAACTTTCTAGTAATCGGGGCATGAACGCTTTAAGCACTGAGCCACTGCTACCACTTAACATACCTTTGTAAGAAGCGTGTAAGTTTTCTAAAGTACGGTAATAAATCTGTAGAGAAATTTCCACTTTTTGTGATTCATATATACGTCTTGCTGACTGGAGCAGACTGTAAAATGGAGGCTTGTGACATGGTGTGTAATCGGTTAGAAAATATTTGTGTGAGTGTGTGTGTGTGTGTGTGTGTGTGTCCTGGGGTCCGACGGGGTCCCAATGACTTTACCAGCAGTGGACCTCCATCACTGACTAATGCAGGAAGAAAAGAGGCACTTCAGGAGATATGCGCACTGGAAAAGTCAATACCATTTCAATCTGCTAATTCTATTATACATTCTATATATTCAGAGCCATATTTTCCTGAGAAACTACAGAAATCCATCATCATGTTGGAGCTAAATGAGCACATTGTTACTGCCAGATGCTTTTGCACAGCCCGTATAGACTGCTCTGCCATGTACTTAACATATGGTCCATACGTTTAACTTTGAATCTCCTACGATACATGAATTTGAGTGATAGTTTAACAAGATTTCTGACTTGATTTGAGATTTTTTTTTTAGGTTGTGATGTTTTATTATTTGCCTACAGGGATGCATATTGTGATACTGATTTAAAGAACTTATATTACGCAAAATTTACTCTTTTGAGCTTTAAGTCATAATATAGTTATACAGTTATAATTGTGTTACCTTCTCAAAAACATATCTGGAGTTGTGTTTTGTTTCATTCACACATATTTTAGTAATCCTTTCTTATTAGTCTGTTTACATCTTCAAAGGTCAAAATGATATGTTTCACGTTATGATGTCTTGAAGCAGTTGTTTTCAAGTGGCGGCTATCTTTTACCTTTAGTTCAGTACAGATGATTCCAGGAATTCTAGATCTAAATGATTCTAGTGAGGGTGTATGGAGATTTAAAACACAGTGGAGCACTTCCTGCATTACACATGACATCACAAGAGTGTTTTCTGTTTGAGAGAAACACTCAATGTATAGGCAATGTAATATAGGCCCTTTAAAGGACATGAATTCAATAAATTCATTTTGTGACTGAATTTGTAAGTGAAGGGAATTTTCTAAGCAACGAATGAGTCAGATATGAGTCTATGTGGCCACCATCTAAGACCCATATTTACAGGGCTATTCATGGCTATCATCTCCCTGTTACAATTCCCAAAACTTTTTACCTTTAAAAAGATTCAATATTTAGTTTAAAGTTTATAATCGCCATGCAAACAGTAACATTTTGTCATCATACTGAAACCCATGGATCGGAACATACAAGATTAGGTTTTCAAGATTAATAGAGGTCAAATTGAAAAAGCAATTTGAGTGGTTGCAACTGACAGCACACACAATTACAATACAAGTTTCAAAACCTCAATTTGAGTCATGCAGTCTTGTTAGAGGAAACTTTAATGTTTCGGTATCTATTTTCCTGTGGTTCCTTAAATGTTGTTATAAATCATCTTGTCTTTTGGTTTCCATTTCCTTTCATGGTATCGATACATCATGCTGGGGGTGTTCTACGTGTATTTGCATCAGTTACCATGGAGACGCAAGCGCAAATTAGCAAATATTGTCAAATAAGTTTTAAGTTTGAGAGGGACTTGTTTAACAGTACAAATCAGCTCACCTGTTGTAGTTCCAGTTAAGACAATTCTTTTTGGTCAGATTGTGTTCATATACAACTCAGATGAAGTCTTAAGGGCGCTTCAGACAGAGCAGTGCCTAGAGTTATCATCACTCTCCCAGTGAACGTTGATGACAATGACCATTGATGCAAAGTATCAATTAGAAATCAACTACTACATTGTTTGAAAATGTCTGTTTGACTTGCACAAATAGAGGATACCTGTATTTTTAAGCTGGCCATTTATTCCTTGAAGCTGTTATTGCTTTGCCTGGAATGTTCCATAGTATGGCATTAAACCTTCTAGCAATAAAAACATCTGTAATTTAAAAATGCACTGTTAAGTTCCAGGCAATGCAATAAAATCTCCATATAAACAAGCAGGTAGTGGAACCTTCATCAGAAACGTTACATAGTACAGCTTTAAAGTCACAGAAAATAACTTATGTGTTTGTGTTATTAATACATTGTAATACTGGGATGATTCTGAGCCAGTGGTCCACACCAGGGTCACAGTCAATGGCCTCTCCTTTAAACAAGTGTCTGGCGGATTTCCCAGCATGCACCCTGGTGATTGATGTGTGTGAATGAGACTTGACTTGTCCCAAAGCCGTCCACTTAAATGAAGTGTCTCTTGTGCCCTATAGGTCCTGCAGAGGTTCCCATGATGTCTCCCAATGGCTCCATTCCCCCCATCCATGTACCCCCAGGATACATCTCACAGGTCTGTATAATACTGGAGTTTTGAAATGTTTTGAGCAGTGTTAAATTACTAGTACTTGTGTAAAAATACTGCAATGTGATAAAGATACATCTCACAGGTCAGTTAATTTTAGAGGTTTTTAAAAGTTTTGGAAAGACGACGTACTTAAGTAAAAATACTAACAAGAATACAAGTAGGTGTCTTTGTAAATGTAGGAATGTAAAGATTAAGATTCAATTAACCAATTATCAGTTGTTCAGGTTACAATATATTCTTGTAAAAACAAAAACAAAAATGTAAGAAGCAAACTCAAGAAATATGTATTGTCCAAAAATACAGATCCATCACACTGGTTGGTATAATTTCTCAGTTTTTAAAAGTTTTAGGCAGTGTTAAAGTACTACAATGTGAGAACCAGAATACCAGGACATTTTCTATGGATTTGTCATTGCTTTGCTTGGAATGTTCCACAGTATGACATTAAACAGATCTACATTACATTTATTCAATTACAGGTCGTTTTATAGCTCAAAAATGGAAAAAAACAGGCTGTGAGAAGGGTCGCCTCTCCACAGATCTGACCTGTAGCTTGGTCTGCTTTGGTCTCCATTAAGATAGAAAGGTTTAGTGCCATACTGTGAAACATTCCTTACAAAGCAATTACATCTCCACGAGGTAAAAAAATATATATATATTTGACTGAACTTTCACCAGAAAAGCTACTTAATGCACTTTTATAGCTATAGTATCAGACCTGAAAAAGCTGGATTGATGCATCCCTAATACCATATAACCATTTAACTGCAATTACATCCTTTATCACAACATATTTTTAAATGCGTTTTAATGAATTGTGTAAAAGTATTTGTTTTCTTTGCCCCTCTGGTGTTGAATCACTGACGTTTACACATAGAACAATAGAACAATGTTTTTCAGCCCCATTCATCCCCTCAATCCAGTTAGTGCCAGTGACTGTGTTTGTTTGTTTTGGCACTCGTGGTAATTGAGTTATGAGGAGTAAAATATCTCTCACAATAAACCCCTGTTACAATGACAGTTGTGTAATACATGCACAGATGCCCTCCCTCCTCTCCCTCATGCGCCCAATTAAATGAACATCTATGAGGCATAAATGGCCCCCTAAAGAGAACAGGCGCACTTCTCAGTTTGACAGTGTGGTTTGGGCTTTCTGCATTTGTATGTAAGGATGATATTAACAAAACCATTTTGTTATTTTGTGGGTTCACTGTAATACTATAAATTCCTATATTTTAATGGGACTGGTACAGCTTCTCTGACTCCAAGGACTATTGCTCCAACTGTTTCTCAATTCTTCCCATACTGGTTTTATTATTGAGATTGCTACAGCCGCTAACGGTCATAATTTAGTCCAGTTTTGATCCTAGTTTAGTCCTGATGTAGAGCTGGTCTGGTCCTCTTTTAGTTTTAGTTTAGCCCAGGTCTAGTCCAGGTTTAGTCCCAGTTTAGTCCTGGTTTTGACACTATTGCTGCTGCTGCTGCTACTAATACTACTAATACTACTTTTACTATTACTACTACTACTATTGCTACTACTACCTATAACTTAGTACCTACTCCTGCATACTCCTGTCACCTACCACTACTACTACCTACTGCCTGCTACTACTACTTACTACTACTACCTACTACTACTATAACTATTTCTATTACTATTACTACTACTGTTTCTACTACAGCTATTACTTCTACTACCACTACTACTACTGCTACTGCTACTGCTACTACTGCTACGAACACTACTACTACTACCTTCTACTACTATTATTACTATTTCTATTTCTATTACTATTAGTACTATTACTATATACTACTATACCATGGCTGTTACTACTAATGCTACTGCTAATACTACTCCTACAAACAACTACTACTACTACTACTACTGCCAATACTATCAACTACTACTACCTATGACCTACTACTGCATACTGCTATCACCTACTAATGCTACTACCTACTACTATTATTACTATTGCTATTACTATTACTACTACTATTTCTACTATTGGCTGCTGCTACAGCTACAACTACAACAACAACTACAACAACAACTACAACAACAACTACTACTACTACTACTACTACTACTACTACTACTACTACTACTACTACTACTACTACTACTGTTATTACTGTCAACTACTACTACCTATAACCTACTACCTACTGCTACTGTTATTGCTATTACTATTTCTATTACTATTACTACTACTATTTCTTCTATGACTACTAATACTACTACCACATTGCCATTATTACCCCTCTTCTAGTCCCCATCCTTATTTACAAAAAAGATAAAAATACTATTACCCTCATAGTTTTTATCATATTAATGAAGTAACATTGTCTTCTAAATATACAAATCCACTTTAATTATATTACACATGTTTACACAGTAATAATATAAACACTACATAAATAACCAGTCTTCTTTCCTTAAGTCCGGTGCCAGTGGACAGGCGGTCATTGCCTCACAGTGGGTTGTGCGTTTGTGTTGTCTTTGTGTGTGGGTGTGTGTGTTTGTGTGGGTGTGTGTGTGTGTGTATGAGGAGGGAACAGGCCAACTGTGAACGGGAATCGCTGTAACTCTTATGTAAACCAGGCCAAAGGGGGAGACAGGAGAGGAGTGGGGGTGTGAGGGGTGTTTTGGATGCGCTACGGTGAGAGAGAGGGTCCAAATCTGCAGCCGTTAGAGATGGATTATGCACATGTGTTTATAGGGCTATTGTCTGTGTTAGCAACTGCATTATAAAGAGATGGTCGATGGGCTTGAATCGCCTTTTGCTTTTAAGTGTGAGCCAGAGACGCATATTGAAAATTATATAGGAAACGCTCCCTAGTACTACTAAAGCTATTATTTGGGGAAGGAAAAATAAGATAAGAAAGGTTCTCAAGTCTGTCAAATCATTATTGTATACTATATGAGGGAGTACTCCAAATCCTAACTACTATAAATACAAATACATTATGGATATTGTCACAGAGACATTAGCTATAGCATTTTGGTCTTGTGGCACAAATAATTAGGAATGTAACAATAACCTAAATATCATGATATCATATTGTCAAAGTTCTCGCAATAATATCATGGACCATCACAATATATCGAATTACCAGTCTCTTTGCTTAAATTAAGAGTTCTGGTGCAGCAATAGCTGACAGAGGAAACTACATAGACCATGATCCTTTGCTCCATTTCAGTGTAGACTACAAGAAGAAATAACAGTTCTAAGCACTTTTTAAGTCTTAGCTCTTTGGATTAAGTCTTGTCAAGGCATTTTAAGAGGAAAAAGTAGCATATTAACAGTTTTGTTAGCCTCCACAAGATATCGCAACAAATATCGTCCCGTGAGATGTATATCATGAAAACATCGTACCGAGAGATTTGGGTATTGTTACATTCCTAATCGTGAGCCTCCCCACCATATCATGAGCTTTCCCGCAATATCTCAATAAATATCGTACACCCCTACAAATAATACCTCGTAAAAATCTTAAATCTGAAGGTGATTTTCATTTTTGTTGCATATGTCTTCTGAATTTTTTCAATAATACTTTTTGTAAAGGAGAATTTCTACAGTAGGCCTATAAGAGGTATGTTATAAATGATAAAATTGTTAAGTTGTACAAAGTAAATGATGACAAGAGCACTAAAAAGTATGTTTGATCAAAATTTACTGGAGTAAAAGTAACCCATGACACCGCTATGTAAAAATAGGCCACACACGCAGTCCGTCACAGTCGGGGATGACATGTGGATCAACAAAGAAAACACAACAAGCAGATAAGGTTCTACAGAGGAGAGAGAGGAGGAGGTGAGGGAAGAGGTGGAGGGAAGAGAGGAGGAAGAGAGGGAGGGAGAGCGAAGGAGAGAGGGGAGGGAGAGATAGAGAGCGAGGGAGCGAAAGAGAGCTGATCCAAGTGAACTAAAGGGAAGTTGATGTGGAGAGAGGCCCCAGTTTGCCCTCCATTCTACATTTCTGCAGCAAAACATTGTCACTTGAAGAAAACAAGTTCAAAGTCCTGCTATGATGTACATCTGACCTATATACTACTATTGTTAGTACACACACAGACGCAGTGGGTTCCAGTGTGTCAGACTTATCACCTTTGAAGTTATTTTGAAGAATGACGTGTTTGTGCGTTGAATTTTGAGTAGTGGTGTGTAACAAGTCTAGAAAAACTTTTTATTTATACAGTTACAGAATCTCTAAAAATGTTTCCTCAACAGTTGAATAATGAGCAGGGGAAGTATTACTAATAAGAGTGACCTTTGGTGGAATAGTTGTGGTTACAGAGAGAGTATTTGTTGTAGGAGGGACTTTTTAGTATCACACAGAAACCTTCCCACTATATTTTCACTATTTAGTAATGATATACATTTTATAAGCAGCAAAGTCTGATTTAAAGTCCTATATTCGCAAAATTGACCCTTGTGAGTTTTAAAGGCGCATTGTTTAATTTTTCTGGTGGAGAATACGTCAAATGCTTATTCTTTTACCTGGAATGTTTCAAAGAATACTATTGATCTTTGTTAAGACCAAACCAGACCAAGTTACAGGTTAGATCTGTGGAGAGGCGACCCCGCTCAGTCAGAATGCCAGTTTTCTAGGTATTTTTGAGCTATAAACCACCGTAATTGAAAAAACGTGAGGTAGAGCTGTTACATGTTGCACCTTTAAGCTGTGTTATAATGTAGTTACAGTATTATTTGATTTTATTCAGATGTTTTTTGGTATTATTTGCATTATCTAGTGTTATTTACAAAATTTGTAGTAGACAGTCGATCATTATTTAGATGATAAGGGCTTATTTGGGACAACAGCAGAAATGAGATGTTAGTGACTGACAGAGTTAGCTAAAGATTTGGGTTTTTGTATTTATGTGTAAAAAGAAACTCACATTCACAAGTTTGATCTGTCTTTACTTGAATTCATTGCTTGCTAGTGCTTTTTTTCTACATAAATACTTTTTTTGCATGAACTCCTGGGCAGGTGTAGTCTTGTGAGTACAGTTTGAGTCAGATACATAGAGATACATAATAGTTTTGAGAGCCTTTGCCACAAAAAGGATAAGAATTTCTTTCGTCGCCTCCAGCCGTAGTTATTTGGCCTCATGTGGTGGTGTATGCTGGTGTTATGGTGCTGTGTGTTGGTGGCCTCTGTTGTTGGTGGGACAGGCGGGTGACTTCCCCTCTCCGCGGGGAGTCTGTTTGGCCTGGGCTTGGTATGTGGCTCTGTGTAAGTGAGTGAATAGGAGGAATGTGTGTGTCTGTGTCTGGGTGCTCCTCACTGCAGCAGATCTAAACCTATGGACCTATGGTAATGTGAGGCAGGGCTTTGAACATTGTTGTTGAAGCGTGGAAGCATTGTCAAGAAATTTCTCATCAAAACAACTTCAAAAAAGTGGAGATGTGTTGTGGTGTAGGGGGTGGTACAGCTTCAAATTTTAGGGTTACAATGAAAAGTAAACTAGTAATTTGACATGTTAGAGCTTCATAAATAACAGGCAGCATAAATTACATTATACCATTAAATCAAATAGTAACCACTTCCAGTAAGAATGCAAATTTTGAACTCAGTAAAAACCCATGTTATTGAGTAAATGCAAGCTGGATATGATTAATGTCATCCTGGGACATTCCAGGCAAACCAACAACATCTCCATGGAGACAAGCAGATGGCGGAACCTACATCAGAAAAGTTACACAGTGCACCTTTAATTTCATATTCAAGATTTTTCAACATAAATCTCAAATCTAATTCTTCAGGCGTTTATTCTTCATACATACAAAGACTGCTCTCTACATTGTTATGTGTGCTGCGTCTGACTTTTTTCATATAATAAAGGAACATTTGTTTTCTATATTAAAAACAGCTTTGGGGATTAAAATATACGACTGCTGTGTGCTGTTTGCATCCAATTATGAAGCATTTTTATCATAAACCAAGAAATACTTCTAGTGCACTGTTAATATATTATATGTTTAGCGTTGTTGTAACAGGCAAACTCCACTCTGGCTTCTGAAAGGTGCTTTTAATCTCATGCTTTGTAAAAGTGAAGGAATAAGTTTAGATCACTGCAAACAATTTAAAATTAACTAGATGTTTTTTCACCTTTTTAAATAAAAATTAGTAAAAATGTAAAAATCAGCACCTTTAATTATCACTGTACATTTGTTTATGATTATGATTGTAAAGGGGGTTAATAGTTCCTCATTGTAAAGTGATTTGAATGCTCAAATCGGTTTGCAAATCTGTCCGTTCTTCTACTGTTCAATTTTAAAGATGCACTGTGGAACTTTTGGGGTCCACTACCTTTTTGCCTCCATAAAAATTGCCTAGTTTTGCTTTGGAATGTCCCACAGTATGGCATTAAACATCCATTTTGCATTTATCCAATTACGGATCATTTTTATTTCTCCAAAATACTTTGAAAAACTTGAAAAAACTTTGCAGATTTGACCTCTAACATGGCTCACTGGTGTCACATGCTTTTCTCTGTAGAGATAGATAAACTTAATGCAATACTGTGGAACATTCAAAGTAAATAATAACATTCCATTGAGGCAAGCAAGTGGCTGGCCTTCCACCAACAAAACCAAACCAGGCATGTTTAAAACCAACATTCTGAAAATCTGTCTGAGTGAAATCCTACATTCTATATCCTCATTATCTCTCTCCCTCTCCACTCACCATGGTGCCGTCTGCTTCTCTTCCCAGGTTTTGGAAGACACCACGGGGGTCCGGCGGGTGGTGGTAACCCCTCAGTCTCCAGAGTGCTACCCCCCCTCCTACTCTCCAGCCCTGTCCCCCACACATCACCTGCCCCCCTACCTGACCCACCCGCACTTCATCCCCAACTCCCACTCCTTCTACCCCCCTGTGAGCCCCGGAGACATACCCCCACAGTACTACCAGCACCACCTGCCCCCCATGTACACCGACCAAGGTAAACACAACCACACAACAGGATGTTTTTTAAAGTGTCTATTATGCTGTTTTCTGATCTATGTAATGTTTCCTGATCAAAAACATATCCAGAGTTGTGGTTTGTTCTTTTTCCTTTTTCTTTTCTCAAACTGAAAACACTCTGTTCCACCTTGTGATGTCATGTGGAGATACAGGAAGTGCTCCACTTTGTTTTTATACTCCAGACACAAGAATTATATGGACAATTTCAGCCTTGTAATTGCCAAACTATACTAAACAAAAGGTAAAAGGTAGCTGTTAACTTGAAAACTACCACTTTGCAAGGTGGAACAGAGCATTTTGAGCTCTTGGGATGTAGACAGAGTAATAATAAAGTATACAGGATTACTCAAACATGAATGTTTGTCATGTTTGAATGAAACAAAACACAGCTCTAGATATGTTTTTGAGGAGATCACAGCATTATAACATGTCTTAAAGCTCACAAGAGTCGATTTTGTGTAATATTGGACCTTCATTATGTATTACAATTACTTGATACAATTGAAATCATGACTTTTCAAAACTGTTACTTAATAACTGTAATTAAAATTTTGGCTTAATTGCACAGCCAAATACTTTATTCACCCCTAGGGAGTAGAACTCAATGATTATCACCCTCTTCTGGCAACAGCAGAGAGTGCAATATGTTGAAATCACAAATGAGCAGCACTATCAGAAGTGATAGGAGGCTAACAGATAAATAATGTATATAAATACATTTTTGGCTTTCTGTAAAATTAAAATGTCCTCTTATTTACAAACGCAATACATAAAGTTGAAGCAATATTGTAATAATAATATCCTTGGTACAAAATATACACACTAATTAAGATGCCGAAAGCAGTTTTGTTGTCATCCATATTACAAATTGAGCATACATGCGAACTAGCGCACTGTCTCTAAGTGAACAGTCACTATTATTAAAATTGTAAAAATAAACCAAAATAAACATCCAATTAAAATTCTAATTAAGTAAAGACTACCCAGTTATTTTGAAGTGTAGATGACTTCAGTTTGTCGTGTTATAATGTATAATTTATTATGCCTCAACATTAGCATTAGCGTTAGGATTGAGAAACTATCTTTAATGCATTGAAACACAAACCTCTGCCTTTGTCCTCTGCTCAAGTATTCATTTGATTTGTGTTCTTTTTGTGTACATGTTGTCTGTCACATTTACGTGCAGATCCCTGTCTAATGCCTTATCTTTAAATATTTATACATTTTAGCATGATTTAGCAAAACATCCATACAGTGTGGCCGGGTGCTATTGTCCACAGAGCCTATTAAGATGCAGAAAGCTATTTTTTGTCATCCATATTACAAATCCTTTTCTGACATATATTTTTAATGTCTCTTTTAGAAATCATCCCTGTTTATGGCATGTCCAACTACATCAGCAGCAGAGAGGAGACGTACACGAAGCCACAGCCCAAAAAGATCAATGAAAAGAGACAAAACCGACTCAACTCTCCTCCCTCCACTCACTACAAGAACAGCCTGGGCCCACAACCCAATGGATACAGGTGAAAAGCTTGTGTTAAAGGTGCACTGTGTAACTTTTCAGGAGGAAGGTTCGACATCTGCTTGTCTCCATGGTGTTATTGAGTGGGATTGTTGCACAGTATCTTTAGTGTTTTTGTTATTATATTATTGCTCAAAACTACCTCCAAAACATGCAACATTACTGTGATCTCTGACCTGCAACTTGGCCTGTTTGTCTCCATGGCAATAGTTAAATTAAATGCCATACTGTGGAACATTCAAGAAAAAAATAATAACATCAACGTGAAGTCAAGTTACACAGTGCACCTCTCAATATGAAGGTTACAATGTAGAAGTAATCATGTTGTGTATGAAATAAATCATTGTTATAATGTAGTTCAACTGACAGACACAGGCTTTATGTTGTGCTTTCCCTTTCATTATGCAATGTGAACAAAGACACAAAAAACCTATTATAGCTGTTCATTTTTATCATATTTTTATTATCCTACCACCTTAAAAGAATTTTAAATAAAACCAGGTGTTTTTTGTTTAAGATAGCCAATATGTTAGACATTTTTATTGTAGCATTCAGAAGCTCTTTTGACAGTGATTCATGTTTCTGTTGTGACATGTTTATTATATCTATTTACAGCCGGTACAATCTGCTAAGCTTTTCACATAAAATACTACGTTGAGATCTAATTTTAAACGTTCTCTAACCATATTTTCGTTTTTGATGCAGCAGCAAGTCCCACGCTCCGTCACTGGGGTCGGTGGGGTCAGGGGGCGGAGTCAGTCCAGGAGGGAAGAAGCCAGAGCGGCGACTCCGGAGCAGCCCCCGAAACAGTGAACCAGAGACGCACACAACAGGTAGGACCGTCTCCAGCCTGTATGAGTCTATAATGTCACATAAGGGAGACGGGAGTAGACACTAACTGAAGGGCGTCAATGTAACGGTCATATTTTGGTTTATTTTTTCTTCAGGATCACATTGTGTTGTAGAGAGATTTGCATATTGTTTGAGCAGAGGTTTTACATATGCCCTTCCCAGTCTTACTATATACACTATACATTGGTTTCAGGCGACATTTTTAGAACTTTTCGACATTCAAATCATGTCATATTTTTATAATAGTTTTTAATTGTTAATTGCTGTGACAACAAATGCAAATGCTCCCAATTTTTCATCATTCTGAAACCCTTGGACCTGGAATGATCTCAAATACTACCTTTAGGCTGGTCATACACTAAGGAAAACCCTTTGTTGATCATAGAATAAGAGTTAAAATATAGGCTTAAATAATATGATATAACATTTTCCTGATTTGACAAATTTTATGGAAAATTCACTGCTAATCTCTAAAATGTGAATTAGGTGTGTTAGGTGTGGTAAGTGTTTTCCAGATTCTGAGCTACTTAAGATACAGATTCTGCACTTAAGAATCAGATCTGAAAACCTCAATTATTTTCTTTTCTCTTAACTTTTCTGCTCTGTAACATATCATTGAAATAATTGCCCCTTCCCCGGTTTGCAACAATGTACGTTATGTTCATATATAGAGTTTATAATATGTTTATGTCAGATGTCTTTCCTTATATATCCATAATCTATCCTCTAGTAAACACTTTCTGGGAGCAACATTTACATATACTTTTTTTTACATTTATTTAAACTAAGTTTGATCAATATTATACTTCTCCCCATACCATAGATAGTGCATATCATTTCTGTTAGCATTTCTTGTCTCTTACCCAAATTTGGACCCCGCTGGCTGCCTGTGAGTGTCATTGTCCCGTATAAACTCAATGGCCTTTTGCATTGGAGCGAGGCGTATAAAGCACACCTTTCTCTACCCCCCTCCCGCCCTCAAAGAAAGTCAGTCCTGCCCAAAAATGAATGGATGAATGGAGCTTCTCTGAGGTAAAAGCGGTAGGGGGAGGGGGGGTTTGGAGATGGGGGTCCGAGGTGGGAAGGTGCACGGGTTGTCCGGGTAACCACATAGCTGAAGCCGTCCCCGAACGCTATCGTCTTACGGCGGTTTACAATAAAGGCCTTGTTGGTGAAGGCTATGCTGTGGTGGGATGGGGGAGGATGGGTGTAGGAGGGAGGTGGGGAGGGGGTGGGGGGTCTTGCATACCTGTAGAGTCCTGCTGTAGCTGAAGGGAGCCTTTCAGACACTCTCCATGGTTTTATCAAAGACACATATGCAAACAAAGGCAAGCACGTGAGGGAATGGGTAAATCTAATAGGGGAAAGCACCATCTGGTTTACTTAAATTTGCACTGCGTAACATTTCTAGAGGAGGGGCCGCCACCTCCTTGTCTCCATGGCGATGTCATTACTTTGTCTAGATTGTTCCACAGTACATATTAACCTATCACAAGAGAGGCAAGCAGGTTTCAGGACTACGCTACATTTACAATTCATATCTGTGAGAGTCGCCCCTTTTCACACAAGGAATTAATTTTCAATTTTTGAGCACTAGAAACACCCATAATGAAGAAATGCTAGATGAAAATGTTTAAAGTCATACCTTGGAACATTCCAGGTAAAGCAATAACGTCTCCGATTAGCTGACTGTCCAGCAGAAAAGTTGCTCAATGCACATTTACCAAACATAATTCCATAATCCTACTTCATATATTAATGTCTTCTATGTGTATATGAAATGTACTCAAAATAAAGACATGAGAGGGTGTGTCTAAACTTTTGACTGGTAGTGTACCTTTTTCAACTTTTTAATCACAGTATTTTCAGATTCATAGAGCAGTTTTTTCAGTTTTCTGGTACCCATAGTTTTAGATGATGCAAACTACTATTTTTACCCCTTTTTAAACTTGTTTATTTTGTACTATTCTCCATATTTGTTTAGTACAGTATTTTAGATCATAGGAATAGATTTAAATGTCCATGAATGATTTCTGTAAAAGTTACCAGCCCTTTTATGCTATTACAAAACACTATCATAAATCATACAAAGCTGTTCAAACATCTCCTGTACTCAGACACAGCATGTAGATCTTTATATCAATATGTACTTAAACTGTTATCAAACCCCAGACTATCTCTATCACTAGATACATAATTCAGCAAATATTGTTCAAGTCAATGGCCAAGTTACTAGAATTCTCAGAATAGGACATCAGCAGTTTGCACAGTAAATCATGCCTCAGAAACATGGTTATTTAGAATTTTAGTTTTATGTAGTTCATATGTAGGTATGTAGTTCCTGTAGATATTGGCCATTTTATTATAGGGTTCTCATATTATTAAATACAAGTAGCTTTTTTTTTTTTTTTTACTCATGCTGATTTCAAGTCTGAATATATGTTGAATATTGAGGAGAAGTCAAAGGATTTTTAACCCAGATGTCCTTCCCGACTTAACACTTTGAATATGGCTATGCTTGAGACTAATGCAGGGTCAGCCAACTGTCTGTCTCCATGGAGATGTTATTGTTTTGCCTTGAATGTTCCACAGTAAAACATCAAACATAATGTACTTTGAGAGAAGCCGGTGACCACAATGACAAGTTATAGTTCAAATCTCTTCAATGGCAAGTCTTCACACAGTAAAAATGCAGGTTGCAACTACACTTTACTGACCCACAAAGGAAATGATTTGGACATAGTAGCTCACACATCACAATATATTATAATATCAAAGAGCAATAAATAAAATAGAAATATAGTAATACAAATATATCTCAGCTATACACAGTAAGGAGAAACAGTACAAAGATGAAATAATGATTAACTTGAGGTTATCTATGAAATAAGGGTGAGTTTTCAATGGAGACTTTGTTCTATTAAGATCTCTACATGGCGTTTGATAGACAGGCACATATCTTCAGTGGTCTGTTAGGGTCTCAGTACTGGGCTGGAGATCAGGCCAAGTCAGCACAATGGGACCACTCCAGACAAAACCTGGCCTCAAAAAAACTGAACTTTTGGCTTCCTGTGAAACTGGGGGAAACTTGCTTTGGAACTGGCAGGAGTCACAGGGCGAAGGAATGTCAAAATTTGGTGGACAGATGAGAGGGGAGAGGTAGACGGATGGTTTGTTTTGGGGGGAAAAATAGTTGGAAGTGTGCGTCGAGCGTCAGGCGGAGGGGAGATGGAAAAGATGGAGAGGCAGAGTGAGAGTTGAGAGCAAACATACTAGCGTCGCTACTTGGCCCTGTGCATCTGAATATGATCCAAGCTAGCATACCTCACAACCGCCTACGCTTTGCCCTTGTTGCCCTTATTGCTCATGTGTGTGTGTGTGTGTGTGTGTGTGTGTGTGTGTGTGTGTGTGCCCCATACAAGGATTACAAAGATTAAGTAAAATAAAATCTAGGGATAAGAGATATGATCCTCAAAAAATGTATCACTTTTTATTTATGAAGTTGATTGATGTTTAATTTTTATTTTATATATCTTATTAACAAATGCAATGATTTTAATGGTCCTGTATTATACAAAATTTACTCTTATGAGCTTTAAGCCATGTTACAATGTTGTTACATCATCAAAAATATACCTGGAGTTGTGTTTTGTTTGATTCACATATGTTTGAGGAACCCTTTATCATTAGTATATCTACACCTCCAAAGCTCAAATGCTCTATTCCAGTGGTGGTAGTTTTTAAGTTAAGGTAGCAATTTCAGGGCAAAATTATCCAAATGAGTCTAATAAAGGTGTATGGAGTTTAAAAACACAGATCCGGGACTTTTAAATATGCATTTCTTGAACATTAACAATACAGCCTTTTAATAACTGCAATTTTACACAAAAAATAATCAGATGTCCTTATCCAAAGTCTGATTTCTGCCCCCAAACTGCATATTTTAACTGACAGAGGATTGGCTGTAGACTTCTCAATTAAAAAGAAAACCCAAGCTGATCATTGACACTTGGAAATGATCTGGCTCTATCTTAATTAAAAATTGATTAATTGCATATTCTGCATTGTATCATATTTGGCTGATGCAAATTTTGAGACATCCAGGAATAATATAGATAAGTTAAATGAAAACAACTGGACTTACTGTGTTAAAACTAAGTGCAGTTGTTTTGGTTTTAACTTACAATAATATGATATAGTGGGTTGAGAGTTCTTATCAGGTTTCTGTACTTTTTTCAAGATAATTGCTTTTGTCAGGCAAGATATTGGCTGCAAGAAATAAGAAGAATCAATATGGAACTGGCAGTTAACGAAGCGTTAAATGTAAATATGCAGTGTCATAAATGTATTCAGAAATAAGGTTTGACAATTTGAGAACATCCAGTCCAAGATACTCAAATCAATTATGTATTTTAGGTTCAGCTGGTAAACATTTTCGTGTTTTGTTTTCGTTTTGCAGCAAGTTTAAGTAAGTAAACAGACAGAGTTGGCAAATACAGTGTCCACTGGCGACTTGGAGGCCAACTCTCCAAGACTCTATCCCCCAGATGTGCTTCACTTCTGGGCTGTCCCCTTGGCTTCCTCCCTTGTCCTGGCCCTGGACCATGACCACTGCAGAGCCAGTCATTCAAACAAAATAGCAAGATTTTAGCATTAGCAGATGGGGAGTTGCTTTTCTCAAAACAGAGGAGCTCAAAATGTGGGAGGGGAACAGCTGATGGTCCAAAAAAGTTACTCAGGCTTCGTTACGGGTTTGGTCACGGTTTAGTCCTAGTTTAGTCCTGGCTTGATCCTGGTTTAATCCTGGTTAGACTTAATTTGGACCTTGTTTTGACCTGGTTTAGTCCTGGTTTGGTCTAGGGTTGGTCTTAGTCTAGACCTGGTTTGATCCTGTTGTAGTTCTAATTTGGTCAAGGTCTAGTCTTGTTCAGATGAAGTGCCAAGTCTGAAGTTGTATCCTGTAAAGTGTTCTTTATATGGG